TTGAAACGCAACGGACAATATTTATCGGCCGAAATCGAGAGGACGGAGAAAGAAAAGAAACGCATCAAAATTGAACTGTGCGATTCTAAAGTAAGGCTACTACAACCTCGCTTCGATGTAATTTCATGTAGTGTTTGAGTAACTTATTGGATTTTTTCATAGCAAAAAAAAAAAATATTGGCTACGGTTTGGAGATAGACCTATTTTTAGTCTAATTTCAGCTTATCAATCCTAAAATTGCGTCTAAAAAATAATATAAATGTCGTTGTCGAAAATTGGGTTTGAACCAAATTAATAGGGTCATGACTCATGACTAATAAATATTCTGCAAATTTATTGACTCGATCCGTCCGTTTTTCGCTAAGTTATAGCAAGTCAAAGTTGAAGGGTGTCAACCCGGTCAATTTTTTCAGACAGTATAATATGTAGTTGACATAAAATATTATTTCGACTGTACATAAAAATATATATGTACACATTTTATCGATTTAGCGTTTCTGTGACTGTATGAAAAACAACGTAATAAATGTGACTTGGAAATCCATGGCTTAAATAATGCTAGGTTGTTGCATATTCCCACTTTAACATATTATCAATTCACAAAATGGCAGCGTAACTCGTAAGGGTACATAATTGTATTTTTCGATAAATATATACACAATACCTTTATAAAACAAATTAATTTGATTGGCTGGCCCTTACACTACCATTTTATTTTCATCACCTAGTGTATTTAAGGGAATCTAATAACTAATAATATATTTTACTGGGTATATATCACCAAAATGATCTTTCTCATTCGATCATTTCTGGTAACATTTTTTAAAAACCTCATTACGTTGCTATAAAAAAACTAAGTTGGGAAGGGGGTAAAACAAAAAAAAAATGTCAAAAATTGAGATCACATGAAAAAAAAATAATTTGGTTAAAGGAAATGGTTGGACATATTCTAGTTGGATCCATAAGCGAAGATCCGGGGGGGCTTGGTATACTAAAAAACCTTAAAACATAAAACCAATGCTTTTTAAAATACCTACCCTTTTTTTTAGTAAGAGATTTGTTGAAATAAAAATAAATATAACATTTATTTTAAGTTTTTAGAATCTCAAGCCCCCCCCCCCCTGATCTCCGCCAATGGTTGGATCTACTATAATATGGTTTCGCCAACTACATTATTTTCGAAATACCAAACTAGTTTAGTTGTTTTTGAGTAGTTGGATTAACTAAACGTTTAGTTGGGTTAACTATACTTTTTTTACTCTGTACACTCGTCTATATACTTAGACACAGGCGGCCCGTACAACAGTAGCAACAAGACAAGGCAGGTAGGTTTAGGCGTTAGGCTTTAGAATAGTACTGTGCAGATAGCCGCAAATTCGATGCTCAAGAGGATATACTAGCTACAAAAATACTTTTTTCATTAATTTTGTTTATTTTTACAATCCAATATTGTAAATCCACCGATAATATATTGTTGATTCAACTATACATATACTATTTCAGTTTAGTACTTCCAGCTAAAAATGTACTGTGTCCCTATATAAACCATAAATTACGGTTGCCCCAATTATATAGTTTTTTCCATGTATCAAGGACGGGTTAATTGGCTGTCGCCGGTGTTAATTAAACTAATATTTTTTATGCAATATGGTATCTCTAGACAGTCGCCTGCCATAGAGAGAGACCACCTCGTCTTCTAAAAGTCCTGGGCCCCCTAAAATCAAATTAATATGCTAGATCATCACTATCCCCGAACAGGGATGGATTTAGTAAAGACTAAAACTAAGGTTATAGCCTGAGGAGGCAATTTTTTGTGGCAAACAAACATATAAATTTGAAAAAATTATTTAACAGTTTTTTGTCTTCTTTTAAATTATGTTTTTTGACGTTATCTAGAATTTAGTTAAATTGTCCATAAATCATAATACCCTATTACCTATTTACAAATTTTAATTTTTTTTTAATATTTTTTTTTTTGTTATTCTTTCTGAGATTCCACCCTTGCCCAATGCCGCTGCGTGGTATAAAATAATATTCTTAACTTTTAAGGGGGCGGAAAATAGCTGATAGCGTAGGGGCGCTGAAACTTTTTTTTTTCATAGCGCCTATAAATGATTAATATCGAAATTAAAAGACAGATCGTCGAGTTGTCTGTTGCACGCACAACAGCTAGGCTTAATCTCATAATAATAATAATGTTAATTTTCAGACCCGGGTAAATGACCTGAAAATCGAAATAAGCAAAATCCAATGCGGTTTAAACAGCAAGGAAGAAGCAATCTGTGCGTTGCGCAAGCAGCTGGGCGAAAGCCGCAGGGAGTACGACCGCTCGATGGACGCAGCGAAGAAGTTGGAGTCGGACTTGAAACGAGCCAACGAAGAGATGACCAGCGCCAAGGCGTGCGCCGCGAAAACGGAACAGAAATTGACCTTAGACCGGGACGCGGTTTCGAACGAGCTGGAGTGCAAACGGCGGAAAGTGGCCGAGCTGCAGAGCACTTTTGACCAGCAGAAGACCCGCATTGGCGATCAGAAGACCGGCATTTGCAAACTAGAATCTATGGCGGCAAACCTGAGGGCGGCCAACGAGAGAGACCGCCGGGACACTGTGGCTCGGGCCAAGAAACTGACGGACGAGAACTGTCGGCTCCGCGAAGAGAGTGCACAAAAGTGCAGGGAAATCGAACAGTTGCGCCGGAAAACCGATTGTCAAGCGTGCGAGCTAGACGGCCAGAAAAGACAGATGAGCACGTTGAACTGTGCGGTCGGCGAAATGCGCTGCGCCGCGGAGAAAATCAAACAGAAAATGCAATGCTAAGTGCGCACGTTGGAAACACAGTGCGCTAAATGAGATTTAAGTATACAACAATATCGATCACCCATATTATCGTCGACCTCCTCTCCCATTTTCATAGACAAATATACCTCCGCAACGTCGTTACACTCAAAGTCAATTTTTTACATGAAAATACCTCTGACTAATAATTGTGAAACCACAAAATTGCATTCAAATATTATACAAGAAATTAAAGTGTGATTATCCATTAAGATTTCTGCTGTGGATTCATTGGTGATGATCGGGGGGGGGGGGGGGGTTTGGATACTAAAAACCTTAAAACTTAAAATTAGTTATTTTCAAAATACTTACATTTAATTTTTAGCGAAAGATTTGTTGAATTAAAAATAAATTTAGCTCTAATTTTATGTTTTAAAACTTTAGAATCCCAAGCCTATATCTGATATCCGCCAATGTATAGAATAACGAGTATAGATAATAACAAAGATACAAACTATTAAACACTATGCATAGTACATATATAAGTGCATTTTCACAAAATATTTGCATTTTTTATTAAAACTGAAGGATAATGTATTTTATACCGTTAAAATAATATTATATTCCTCTAAATGGTGTAATCTCTTTTGACATACTATTATAAAAAAATATGGAAAAAGTTCCAGAAAATTGTCATTTTTGACAATTGCCAAATACGTTTAATCAATTAGACAAACACATTGTTTAAATGGTATAAATAATATTTTTTTTATTAAATCATTTTTTTAGAACCCTCAGTAATTCTTGCAATTTAAAACGTGTTTTTTATAACTGTATTTATTAGTTAATTATTGTGAATTTACAATAAATAGTTTAGTTTACATCACGTACAAAACATTTTTTACATTTCAACTGTTACAAACCAATTTAAGGGGACTATCGCCGCGTGTTTACGTCATACTGTGTTAAATGACATTTATTCAATAAATACATATTATATAAGTCGATAAGATTATTTGAATACAGTTTTTTAAGTAGCAGGCCAAAGTCTATATATTTTGTTAGACCACAAATCTTTTAATTTTCGAACCAAATTAGAAAGGTTAGAGGTTGCTAAAAGTTTAATCATTGTTATTTGTTGTCCATAAAATTTGTAAAAAATATACAGAATGTACAGGTTAGTTATTATATTGAGAAACACAGGCATGTAGACAAAGCGGTACTTCGAATCAACTAAAACAGGAGGCTTAAATAAACTTAGCATTCAACAATTTTAATTTTGAAATGCAATTATTATTAATTACTATTCAAAATTATAAACCATTATTAAAAACCATTTAATACGCGTTACCGTTCGTTTACTATCGTGAGACCTAAAATACTACTTTAATTATATTCATATTGTTGGTAAAGACAGGAAAGAAGCCATGGATGTGTAGATAATGCAATTAGTGTTGTAGAGATGAAAAAATGAAGACGTTTGTTTAAAATACGATAAATGGATAAAGATTATACGATGAAGTTGGGCATTGTTAGTTAAACACCTATAGTGGCAAAGATGACACGATAATAGATTTTGGTGTTTTGAGCAAGTGTGAGCTGATATGTTATGAGTGTTGTGTCACGTTTGGGTACATTTAGTAGAATATTCCAAAAGCATTGAACAATACGTTATATAATACGGTATTAATAATTACACAAGCAACATGACCGCTAACATTAAATCTGAAAATCAATAACATTAAGGTTTTTTTTGTTCTTCTTAGACGAGCCATTTATGTAAGCTTTTGAATTTTATTGACATCACACAGATTTGACTCAATTTATAACAACATTTGTCAGAAAATGTACAAAAATACTGGTATTACATATTATTATTAATTACTTTTACTGGGCATTGAGGGAAAATCTATTTATAGCCAGAAACTAGAATCTACTAAGTTAGTGCTAGTTCATATATTTTGTCATCCGCAACGGTATATTTAATTACAGAACGTATGCAAAATGATATATTAAGATAATGTATGTATTAAGTCATTGAATTTGACATTTCATCGCTTTTTCAAATAATAAACATAATACTTTTGAAAAATCCTGATTTTTTTTTTTGTATAGAGGTGTTAACGAATCAGCCTACGTACAGTTAATTTAAAGGAAAAAAGAAATGCATATGTTTCAATCATTATAAATATTTAATTTGACTACACTGAGCACAAAGTAAGTGCTGTCCAACGTGGTTATAATAGTAGCAATACCTTAACAATGTAATATAATAATAATAATAATTAATAATACGAATATAATCGATTTAAAGTACTAAAAAATAATATAAAATTATAAATGTGAAATATACAAGTGTAAAATGTGGATTGTATGTTTATAATTTTTGAAAAAAAAATAAACTATAAAATAACATTTAATATAAGTTGGTAAGAAGAAAATTAAAAACAGAAACAATTCACCATTATCACACTATCAATATTATATATATATATTTATACTAGAGTGATAATTATTAAAGTGCACACAAATAAATAAATAAATATCATATATATATATATATATATATATATATATATGTATCGCGTGAGATTTCATAAATCAATAAATACTACTTTGCTCTAAAATAACAGTTTTAAATATTTGGATTATTATGCAGTTATTGTTTGCTTATGTCGAATTCAATCATTTATTTTGATTGGACTAGGTTAAGAAACTCTTCGCGGGTTTTTGGATCATCTCTGAATACGCCAGTCATAGTCGATGTCACGGTTTTGCTGTTGATCTTTTGTACGCCTCTCATCACCATACACATGTGCCTGAAAGAAACACAAACATGTTATAGAAAACATTGTTATAATATTAATATAACTAAAGCACAGATGATCATCACTTTTGCTGGCCTTACTACAATCATTTTAATAAAAATATTCCATTCTCTCTAGATGACACCTTTCTGTCACGTGAAATCCCCGTTCTGTCTCATTCTACAAGACACCAATCAACCAAAACTTAAATATTAAGAAACATAATTTTCGCTCGAAAATGTGTTTATTGAGAAAAGGTTTGCAATCACTGCCATTAATGTGAACGTCATTAGAACTTACACTCCTTCGATAACCACAGCCACTCCGGCTGGATCGATAGCTTGACGAACGGCCTCGGCAATTTGTTTAGTGAGACGTTCTTGAACTAAATAAAAAAAAACAAATTGTTAATTAAAATTAAAAGTCAAAATTGTTATAACAAATGTTTTCAATTATTTATTATTATTCTTTATTAACTCACTAACACGTACGTACGTTAGTACGGGTATTTTACAAATCTTGAAAAATTAATTTCGAATATCGGATGACAATATAATGTTCCATTATAATTTTGGGACCCCGACGTCCATGTCGAAAATGCCGGATGGTCAAATAGCATGGACATTTCTTTAAAATTACATGTTTCTTGATGCAACAAATTAAGGAAGGAGGGTCGTGTAAAAAGCCGTTTTTTCCAGGATTTGTTTTGAAAAAAATATTTTTTTGTATAAACAATTTCTAAAAAACAGTATTTATTATTAATTAAGTAATAATAATTAATAAACTTTTAGATCGCGCAACGACCAATAAGTTAAAGGAAAAAATGCGTCAAACCACATGTCAATCGAATTAAAATTCATCGAGCTACATTATACGGCGTACAAAGTATTTCTTAAATAGTGTATTTCTTTTTTGGAAAAACGCGTTTGGTTGATCACCTCCCGGATTTGAACATTTTCATCTGCACTTTTATGCCAAATTTTATGGTTTTTTCCTACAAATAATGTTGTTCTAGAGTCATAATATAAAATCTCTTCGATAATGCTGCCACTTAGTGTCAAAATATCAAAACAACAAGTATATTAGGCCAATAGACTGAAAGGTACACCGTGCGTGCGGTCGTATAATATAACCGCGTAGCATGGTTTGAAACGCGCCATTAGAGTGCAAATATATAGGTAGTAGGTACACTATACGTATATTAAGACTTTTTTTTAGAAAGCATGGTTTTTAAAGTCATTTTTTTTATTTATCTATAGTAAAAATTGCCATTTAGGTTTTTGACAAATTGTAAAATTTATTTTTATTTTTAAATTAAAAGCTTTAATTTCATTTTTCTGGCTTTTATCAGATCCAACAAAAAATTGTTTGAAATGTTTTTTTTTGAAAGAAATTTTACGGATAAGTGGATTGTCATTAGTAATTTGGCCGAAACGGGGTAAGTTTTATAAATCTTTGTCTATGAGAGAAAACTATAGAAAATAGTAAATAGTAAATACTAAATAGGAGGAAAAGCTAAGAGAATATTATATGGGAATACACAAAAATTAATATAATAATTTTTTTTTTATTAGGTAATTCATATGTCATGTTATATGTAACGTTCTTATTTCACAGTCCAATAAAACACTAAGTGATAAATTTAATACTTAATAGAGCAAAGGCAAGTTATGAGTTATTCATAATAATCTATAATAGGTATTATGTTACTGGCAACTTTACATAATATATAAATCTGTTATATGGTATTTATATAGGTAACTTTAAATGTATCTATTCCATTCGTCTTACCTTGCAGTCTTCTGCTAAACATTTCCACAATCCGAGCCAATTTACTCAAGCCTAGAATTTTTTTTTGCGGTAAATACCCAATGGACACTTTTCCGTAAAACGGCACCAAATGATGTTCGCACATGCTAAACATTTCAATATCCTTTACTACAACCATTTCGTCGTGATCTTCATCGAATACAGCATCATTGAGGACTTCTAAAACACATTAAAAAAATAAAGTTAACACACGTTCACACGTTTCATATTAAAAATTCTATGTAGTATTGTATTCGCGTACTTGCGCCAATCTAATGAAAAATTCAAACCAAAAGCCATGTCTTAGCAATTCAATGTGTTGCAACAAGTGGTTTCCTATTTGTTTCTATATTTCAGTCAAAAGCGAAACATGTAGCTAGTAGTAAATGATGAATTTTTGCTTAGTTTGGACCGGTCATTACTTTTTAGCCATTGTCATGCCCAAAGGTATAAAATTTACGTTCTTCTAAATGTGGTATTACTTAATACTTAAGCTAAGTTTTTTTCAAGTACTAAACTTAAAGTATAAAAATGCATTTATGTATACGCAATTAAGAGTTTAAGTACAATTAGTTATTGTTTATAAGTTATAACTTAAGATATAAAATTAAGTTTTAGTATACTTATATTATTATACATCTTGTGTTAAAATTATAATTCATCATTAGGTATATATTACAATAATATATAATAATATAATGATCTTCATTATATATTATCATAATAATACATGTACAAATATATCATTTTTTTTAATAACATAATTAATATTACATAATAATACATTATTATTTAATAATAATACATAATTAATTAACATAATTTTGTTTTCTGCAATACAAATAAGATTTAGACGATAATTTATATATTATAACTCGTGAATGGCCATTAGTAAGCACATTTAACTTGAAGCAGATAAAATATTTTGATGTTGTCAAAATGTATTATGAATAAGTTATTTAGAGCTAATCATATTAATATTATCTTCGTATTAATCACATTACCCAACCTAGCCTAGGTGGGTTTTGAAATGCACGACCTTTGTCATGTGTCATCGTCAGACTTTCCGTCTGATGATGATGTTCCTCGGTAATTGGTCCCTTTGAGTACGCTCGGATCGCTAACAAAGGCACTTAACGGGTTTGATGTCGAGGCGAGCAAAAAGGAGTGAATGTAAAGAGGAATAAAAAAAATCTATTACGACGTAACGAATATTAGAGTGCCGCGAGAAGAAAGTGCTCCACATAGGTCGACGTTGACTATTTCTAAATAGAAGCCTAACCTTTAACAAATATAGGTATATATATATTTTTTTGTAATAAACATAACATTTTTAAGCATATAACAATGCATTTTATTGTCCATTTTGCAAGTTAAATATGCTACACAAATGAGTAGTGAAATCGTAAAAAAAAATCGATGAATAAAAAGCTCTAAACGTTCAGACAATACTAATAATCCCTTACGGAAGAGGTAAAGGGATTTGGCGGGGTCCGACCGGTAATACACGACGGTGGCTACAACCACTTGTAGCTGAGGGAGCTTTATATATATATAGATATTTCGCTTTGACAATACTGTGATGCACGTTGATTTAAAAGCTTTTTTGTACAACTGTACAGAAACGATGGCAATTTTAGATTTACCGTTGTCAAGGCAACACGGCGTAGACGGTTTATCAGTATAATATTATATTATTCGTTCGATATTAATTCGGTTCATCTTACTCAGACACGTGATCATTACAATCCAATATTCAACGGACACTAATTGAATGTTACAGTCATATTTCGAAAATCAATACAGCAACTGTGGCGGGTTATATTAATAATAACATTGAAATGCTGTTTTCCATTATTTATAAATGCTGTATAATATATTTGTACTCATCAGTCATCAGCGAATTCAACTTAAGTAATTCACCCACACTACGTATACACGAAAACAACTTAAACCTGAATGCCTAAAACCCGCTACGTACAATTAATTATGAAGTGGAATATTATTTAAAAACCTTTGAACGCTATTTTTGAGATCATCAATAAAATACTATATAAGTAATAGCCATAGTATTATTTACTACCTATATTGTATAAATTATCTATATCAATTTTTAACTATTATGTTAATTAATGTTAGAACTGTTTTATTAAATATAACTTAAAAATAAAATCAATATTCTATCATATAAATAATCATTTCATACAAATGATCTATCTAATACAAATAATACCATTTCAAAGTACAGTGTACTATATACGAATATATTTCCATCAAATTGATTTATTTCGTTTCAACATGTATTTTATCTTAAGGTTTCGTATAAAAAAAAATTATTTAGTTTAAATATTTTTAATTCTTGTATTAATTCTTTTTTTTTGTCTGTAAATAAGTTATCTCTTACTAGCTGTCACCGGGTTTAAAATGTAGTAAAAAATATAATATTGTCTATCGCTACATGATTTCATTTTATAACAGATAAGCTTCTATAATAAAATTGAATCAAAAGCGCGTTTAACGCTACAGATTTACAATTTCCCAAGGACTATGTAGTTGATTGAAAAATAAATTGCTACTAAAAGTAATAAAGGACTAAAATACAAATGTCTTAACATAATGTCGAAATCATGTTCATTGTTCATTTAAACTTTAAGAAATTTCATTTTTATTTGAAAAAAAATATATTGAAGTATTCCATATAGTATGGATAGCTTTGATAATTAGAAAATCGGAGCCATATAAAATCTGAACATTTTTTTTAAAAATAACTGTTTAACTTGTTTTAAATTAATAACTATGCATAATAAAGAATCATTTAAAAAACATTGGATGTCGTAATCTATATTATTATTATAGAAGTTGGCTTGTCGAGTTGCATGCTCTTAAATCATACGAATAATTAGGTTATGATAAAATTACATTCACATTCATACTGTACATACGTCGAAGCGTCTATTGAATTAATTTCCGAGGCTTATAAACTTGTTGAAACACATTTGTTAGTACTGCATATTTAGCTTAACAATGCATTGTTCTTTTAATTAAGTTCCGTGTTAAATTTGTATACAGTCTGTTTATATTATAAAACTCAATTTATTATTACAAAAATACATTTAAAATGTTACACTAATCACATTTATGAAATCTCAAGGCAAATGCCTTAAAATTAATTACATTTTCCGAGTAATGACATAGCTGTTATATATATTATATGGTCTTATGTAAGAAATATAATTACGTTAAAATTATTTGTATTATATAACTTAAAAATAAAAACAATATATTTCAGAGTAAACAATATCGTATATATTTCCCACAAATTGATTTATTTCGTTTGAAAATGTAATTGTATCAACATTTTTTATAGAAATAAAATAATATAGTTTTAGTACATATGTATACTTATTACGCATCAACAATGCGTAGTTAGTTGCATACTGTAGTTAGTACCTATTGTCCTGTTCATATTAATTATTTGATTTCAACAAAATAATACAAATTAGACACGCGCTTTTGTTTCTTAAAAATTGCTGGTACTGTTACTATAATATGATTATATGAATTACTCGTATCTCTAGACTCTATATCTTTAAATCGATTAAAGGAATACAATGTACAGCACTATTGATTAGGCTGAATTAATTATATGTAACACAATGAGCAGAAGCAAACGCACTGTATCTGTTAATCATATACAAGATTGATTGCAATTTAGAAACTACAAATTGGCAATGGCTTCTGGTAAGTTGACTGTTCTAACGGTACATTGACTGTTTTGTTAGACTTTATACAATTGCAAAATATAATTACTATTGTAAGTCAAACAATAATAATAACAGGCATACAGAAAGCTATCGCGTTATCTAATTTTTTGTTAATATCGGTAGATAAAAATTTAAGAACTTCACATAACAACTTCGGTGTTGTAGCTTATTGGAAAAAAAACTTGTTATTGTGTTGTGTTTTGAATTGAAAGCGAATGAACTAAATGTATAGCTACTGCAATAACTGAATGTTGCTACTTTGTTGTCAGGTCAAAAGAAAATTAATCAGTTCCGTCAGAAACATGCGGAATCATGGACTTCTTTAACTCCCTCGCATACTCACCTCCTTGAACAGTATTATTTTTATTGAAAAAATATTACAACTACAGAAAAACAATTTAAAAGAAAAGTATCATATAATATCTGCAATTGAATAATAGGACACTATTGACAGTATATCATTTAAGGTATACCTAAATATAAGTATACCGTGGACGTTTTTTTACTAATCTAGTATGATATTTTATATTATTTTACTTTTTAGACAAAACATAATTTGTGTATACGTCACCTTCAGTAAGGTATACACGTGTATATTTCTGTCAATGAAATATGTACAGCTTAAATAACTTCACAAAAAATGTTATGAAAATGTGAGTGATTACATGTGTAATCTGCAGTAAACCTATGTCTGTAATTCACTAAATAAGTTATCTAGAACTGCGTATATTACCTGAAAGGTAATAATAATTAATAGTTGTGTATTATACTTCAAGGAAAAAAATAGAAGGATGAAAGAGTTGGGAAAAGAAGAAAATCTTGGTTGAAAAATCTACGCAATTTTTTTTTGACATGTTTTATTTGTTCATCGACCGAAACAAAAAATATTTATTATGATTTCTAACATCCAAAATAGATAGGAACTCCAAGGAGAAGAAGACTTAATAGAATATTTATAATAATAATAACAAGCTACTTAAATAATTAAAACAAGTGTAGGCAAACAAGGTTGGGAGTTGGAATGCGGTAGAGTAGTACGCGCAGATAAAAATAATACTACACTCCACCTGTCTCTACTCTTCCTCTCGTCCTAAATTTTAAACTTTAATAACGCTAAAAGCAATTCTGGTCCGAAACTGGTTATTGACCAGGCAAAAAGTGTCAGCAAATTATATTTAACCTTTATTTAAAAAGTTAATTAAATATATACAGGGTGATTCATTAAACATTAATGATTACGGATAAGACACTAATTCTGAAATATAGTCAACTTATTTGAATTGATCAACCTGTACTTTTGTAATTGTTTAAAAGTATTAAATTCCTTCTGAAATTGTAAAAGGCTCTTAAGCAATTAGTTATTGAAGGCGTACGAATATAATTTAGTATTTTCATATTCAATTATGCGTTCCTCTAACTTTTGCTCGTGAATGCGGTTATAATACTATGTTCTAAATTCTAATACCGTCTAATCACTTGGCATCGCAAACATCACAGGACACATTGTTGCGTGCACGTACGAAAACAAAAATATAGGTACTTTTACACCTCATATTTTCGGTAAACTGGTCTGTTTATTTATACACTTTAACTGGTTCGATTTGAAAACCCGACGATTCATTAACGTTATCAACAGCTATCGCGTGTCAATTTCTTTTACAATTAGCGAAAAGACCGGTCTCAAAGGCAATTTGCGTTGTCACGTCACGCCGTGTCGGTATACATATATATATATATTATATTATAATGTCATAATAACAATATAACACACACACGCGGCCTTGTGTGCTCACCTTACCTACTATATAATACCTCTCTCTTCGGACACCAGCGGCGGCTTACCGTATTACACGGCATTGCACTTAAAAACCGCAATTCCAAACCGTCGGCTATAACAATAATACGGTGCACACACACACGCACACACACAATAGTGGTTCGCGGCGTGGTTCACATGTGTATGTATAAGGCAAAGGCGATAGCAATAATATAAAACGGCGGTCTGGACTTTCATGTATTATTCAAAGGCAAGAACCTTTGCGCCTCGTGACGTGGTGAGAGACGAGCAAATTCAATTACAGCCAAGTGCTTTTGAAATCACCGACACTCGGCCGCCGCGCCGGTAATCGGATCTGGGGGCGGGCAACATGTTGAACTTGCGCTTTTGGCATTTTTTATGTTTTCTCAACTCGACATTTGTCACTCCAGACACAAGTACGTTCTGGATTATGATAACGATTTTATGTAATAATTAATAATAATAATAATTAGGCCTACTATCTGTGCGCGTGTAACGGCATCTCGCAACAACCGCCACGCTGTTACCTATAGCCTCGGGGCTCACGCTATGGTAATACGGCACGATATTGGTGTAAAGTGCCTATTATGGATTATCGGCAGCGGTCACAATAATAACAATAATAATACTATGTACCTACTGATAGTAATGAAGTCGGAACGTCGCGGAGACAAGAAAGAGGTCGAGCCGTGTACAAAAATCACACCACGGCAAACCACTATCGCCTTCATGCGCGCGTTCAATAGTCTGTACATCTATGGTAATATTGTTTTAGTGTCAAGCTGTTTCGGTTAATAACAACGCTAGCCGTCCTACTGGTATTGCCGATTTTTTCAAGAACAAATAATTATTTTCATAAGTTATGCAACAACAACGGGAAAAAAATGTCCAACAAGAATGTGTAGCGTTTAGAATTATTACTTAAGAAGCAGTACGTTTTTTTTTGCAATAGCCCATCATCGTCGATCGCTTATCGATGACTTTACGGCCGAAAATGGGAAACCCACGTTTTAGCTTATGTTCAATTCGAACAGCTCGCAAAACTTATGCCAGCACGTATATAAACTATATGAATGATATGCGTTCATTAAAAAGTAATACAGTTTGCGTTTAATAACAAAAAAGAGTTTCATCGTTAGTCGATTATTTTTATCTGTGATCGCTTATAGTAGTCAGTACTGTTACTTAGTATGTTCAATCAATACGGCCAAATGATATTAACCAACATAATTTCCTAGTGTTAATAAAAAATTGTAAATGTTGATAATTTTGAGTAGTTTGCACTCATGTGCTGAAGATATTCTAATTTTAACTTCTTTTAGTTTTACACAGTAATATTAAAACTAAAATATTATTATAATACATCTCAAAGACGGAGTTCATTTTGAAAGACTTGACTAACTTATTGTTTGTTAAATTAATTTTCGCTCTAGTCTAATAACTACACAGCGATACAATTACTAGGGTTACACAATATCAACAGTACTTCATAAGCTCCCTCCAATTTTACACTTTTATCGAAATGTATGATAAATCTCGGAAACTTCTCAAACGGGTAAACCTTATAAGTTTTAGTGATATCTCATCATACCCATGATAACTTATAATTTACACACGGAAATTTATAATACCCCTAGTTAAGTATGTTAAAAATTTGATAGTTTTAAAAAATGGTTTTTTAACGTTATAAGTTGGCTTATAACTCTCGTTAAAATTTTTTTTTTACTTTAGTTGTGTTCTGGGATGGGGATGGGAATTTAACGGTTTCAGTTGCCCTCCGCACCAGTCGGGTATAAATGTTATTTGTAATATATTTAAAATTTGTACAGTTCAAAGAATAAAAATCTATAGTTAAATATTTTTAAGTTTTTATTAATAGCCTTGAAATGAAAAATTACTAGTCGATATTATATTTGTATTCTCGAGTTGAAGCACTTACATTTTTGGTTAGACGAATAGTGCAGGTAAATAGTAAAATGAGTAGTAGGTACATGTGGTGAAAAAAGTATTACGCTTTTTGCTCCAAAATCAATCGAAAGACAGCATTTAATTTATAAGTTAGAAAAAAAATATAACATTTTAATGAACAATTAAACTTCAACAAAAAAAAACAACAAGGAAAACACCTAAGTAGAACGACTGATGTGCTAAATAATTTAAATCCGTTAACTAACAGAAGTTTTATCACGTTATTAGATCATCGATTGGTATTTTGGAATAGAATTAGATCTTTTAAAGCTACTTATAAAATAATGTAAGACTATGCATTATGGCTAGTATGCAGTATGTATATTGTATAATCGAGAACAAAATAAGCTCGCCCTAAGCTATGTAATAGTTACACGCAGTCACACACAAATACGCTGGCGATTATTTATACTTAATAGACCGTTTACATTCCCCTTAAATGTCTGTAACTATTTACAATATATAGTTAATTAAAAAATCTTTATTTATCTAGGTAATTTTGCAGTAACGAAACAACAGCTTGTTTAATGTATGTTTTGTGCGCGCTAAAATTTCAAAACATATGCGCACTTTACAAAATATTGGACATGACACATGACATACTTTTTACCATTATAAGCGGCCAATCAAAAATCCCATTATTAATTTGGTGTCGAGAACGTACATTTTATTTTCAAAGCTATCGGTTAAACACTACGAAGCATAAATTAATCAAAATTATACCTGTCAACGTTTGATCGTAGCCTTTGGTGAAAAACAGCATCGCTTTTGCCGCTCTCTCCGGAGTCTTAAGCAAACCTTGGCGCTCGGGATTCTCTCCCAAGGCGCTCAAAAGCATTTTATACGAGTTTGTCATGTCAGGAAGTAGAGCTTCACGGGTGGGCGGCTTGTGGTCCAGTTCCAAATCGTGGTGGAAAGTGCATTTCTCGTGACCTGCTCAGTAAAAAAAAGGGAAAATTACTAATTTCGAACTACTCGAAAAGTAGGTTTTTTAGTATTCTTTAGGTACATCTTACAATCATTTTTCACAAGATGTTTCATTTTAGAAAATATAGGTTACTATTTAAAAGGAGAGGAAAAAATACCACAATCATATTCATAATAAGACAAGAATTAATCCCTGTGTAATGAACGTTACTAAAATTATAACTATACAGTGTTTGTTCTAGCCCTGTAGCATTATTGCACGAGTAGCATAAACGCAGAGCCATGAAACTCACGTTTTCTGGATTAAAAATAAGTGTAAACCATACTATAAAAATCGATGAAGAAAATAACGGTATCGTCGATTTAATGATTTCACCGAACTTAAGTATTCATCGACTTATTCGATCACATTTATTAATATTGTCACATTATTAATAATTATTTGCTATGTATAATATTTAAAGCGCCACCGTTTTCAGTAGTTTCTTTGAAAAAAATTACCACATTAAAAAAGTGTTTGCAACATTTTTATTTGCAACGGTACGTATATAAGACCAATTATTTTAGTTTACTACTTTTTTTTTACTAAGTCATATCCTGTACAAATAGAGTTGATGGTCAGTGGTCACCCTTCACAAGTTCTCATCAGTGACCATTTTTCTTCTTATTCTATTTTTTCTTTTATAGTTTATCTCTACTCTAATCTATTTTACATGTGTTACTTTATAATTCCTTTAAATGTACATACTCTGTACGTTTAGGAATAAATTAGTAATAAATAAGGATTGGATATTCTCACATATCTCTTAATTACCTCTAACCTTAATTTTTTGCCTTAACTCTACCTTTCTTTCCATGATTATTTTTATGACGATGGGTGCATTTCCTATGCATCAGTTGATTTATCTATCAATTCATTCTAACAAGTTTTATAGAACTAGTTTCTAGGTATGAAAAATACAACATTGTTAATCCAATACAATAAAATCATTGTATGACAAATACATCATGAATGAATATTGGTTACAATTATTTAAAGTTAGTGACTGATTTCTTCATACTCGCAAAATCGTTGATTTTCTGTTCACTCGATGTTGTGCTCTATTCCTAAACGTCTTTTTTCCTTATTTTCTCCTAGCTTGTTATCTAACTCTTCATACTTTTTTTTCTTACACAACGCTATCTTTGATTTTTTGTGTGTATTCTAGCCTAACCATTTTTCCATTATGCATTTGTCTTCTAGTCTTTAAACTTCTGTTTTATTACATACATACTTATTAGTTATTAGTATGACAAAGTAAAAATATAGTTTTACAGCGTAGTTCAAAATGTACAGTGCGAATCAAGTTAAACAGAAAAATCAAAAAATTGTTTCACTTTTTGGAAATTAAAGTGTCACGTCTTGCTATACGGCGTGAGGCACGTTCCAAATTTGGGATTTGCTGTTTATGTATACCTACGAATAACATATAAAAACGTTTGATTTAGTGTGAAAAACCATACATTTTGGTCATTGTAAATTTGTACTTAATTGTTGCTTAAAATAAACAAATTTAGTTAAACTGAGAGGTGAAATAGACGATTTGATTTTTAAATATTTTGATTGGTATGTCGTGACGTCATCACGCAGTTACACGATATTTTTTTGCTTGACCCCCTAAAACTTGTTCATTCTTTTTGCTCAGCCTAAAAACTTTTTCATGTTCATATATAGACCCAATTTCACAACTTATAGTTGTAGAAAAGTTGAATCACAAGAATCGTATTTGATTGAAAAGAACACTTCAACAGCAATCCAGTAATATGTCCCTCAAACTGCTCATGAGATACTCTCATACTCTAATATAACAAGTTTAAAATACTTTAGTACAGTTTGACAACCGTTATTATTGACTAGATCAACTTTATTTTGCCTAATTGGAGTTCCCGCTTACGTCATACATAAACAAGAGAAATAAAGAAAAAGTTTTTACTCTTTCAGAAGGAAAGAGTTAATGATATTTTAAGTTACGTTTTCATTGAATATCTAAATAATATTCCATGCTATCTACCTATCCGTCCTATTTGAAAATCAAAACAATTTGAGAACATTTTTTTCATCGTACCTATCACATATGCAGGGTAATTTTCAAAAAGTTCCTCGGGGGTGTGCTCCAAAAGTTCGTTCGTATTTGGCGTTTGTCAAATAATATTGTAAAATTTGATTTTGTACATAAAGACAAATTATGTATAAAAACTAACAACGTTTCTTAGTTTATGTCAATAATATGCAATTAAAAATATAATTGAATTGCCATTTGTAGAGTGATTTCTTTTTCTCTTTCATTTTTTTTTAAAATTTTGATAATTTTTTTTTTTTAGTATCTCTTTTAATTTTAAAACTACATTTTACAAGAACTTTAACGTATAACAACTACCTAAATATAATACGTAGAGCGCAATGCTAAAACATAAATGCGATAGTGGGAAACTGGAAAGTATTGTAGCTTGTATTATATCGTCAGCCATTTTAACAAAGGACGTACCTACAAAAAAATCAATTTTTTGTACATTACACTATTTAAAGGAAAAAAAATTGTGCGTCGGCTGGTATAATAATGATTTTATTTCAGTGTTTTTTCCATAAAATGTGTGATAAAAAGTAAGCAATTGCTAATGAAATAAAAATAATAAATTAAACGTTTTTTCCTGTTAGTGTGAAATTTGGTATTTTGGTGTTACGCCCATTGCTGAATCAGCTTATGCAATAGGCCCATTGCCTATTGCATAGGCTGACGATATATCTCAATGAAATACCTATGTAAAATTATATATTTTTCCAATTATTATAGTTTTATTATGTGTATACTACTTCTTAAGCCCGCACGAGGCCATTTTTTTAAAAATTCATTATTTTTATAAAAATTAACAAGTTAAGCAGAGAGAGAAACAACTTCTATTTCAAGTGAGCTACCCACCGGCGACCGTGTGGGTTGCCAAGAGACACATCATACTACTCAATATACAAATACATATGACAATTTTAGAACTACAATAAAAATAAACACTATTTATTACTCAACAGTTCTAACCGAAAATCAAAGAGATGCAAAAATGTTTTCGTCCAATTACCTCATGAAGGGATTTTGGATTTTTTTTTTTATTTTCTAAGAGGTTTTTTTTGCGTAATTGACGATTGGTTTTAAAATTAAATTGCATGGCACCAGAAGTATAATGTTATTATTATTTTTACTAAGGAAAAAAATATAACTACTCAGTAAACGGTTATAAAGAAATACATTTTATTTATATTAATTTTAGTAAAAAAATTGTTTTTCATAATTTTCTTGGTAACTTTGAAAATCATTTTACTTTTTATTATTTTGTGTTTGCACTCGCAACTCTATGTAAGTACCTGATGTAGTTTATTGATTAGATTGTTTGACCAATCCCAAAACATTTAACATAGGTTTATAACTAAAAAAATTGTTATTTAATTTTTTAAATACTCATATTATATATTTGTATGCGTATTATAAAATTTACTGTTTTTTAACAATATAATTTAAAATTGTATAATTAAGACCCGGCTGACCCCTCCCCCCTTCCGGCTCTCATATGTCATATGACTATAGTTTTTTTTTTTGCGACTGATAATTTGATCCTAGTTACGGGCCACTGATCTCAGCTCCGGTTGAGCTTGTAACCGTTTTTTGATTGTACGATTAACTGTTTTTTTAGCTCCTTGTTTATTTTATTTTATAATTGCGCTACACAACATTATATAATATGTTACCGGGCGTTGTAGACGTTCTAGGAGTCTTGGGATTACCGGTAGCGTCGAAATCGTTGTCGTCCTTCCACGAAGAGAGTTTCTTCAACGCCGGCGGTTTGGTCTTCTTCAAGGCTGCCACGTCGGTCGCGACCCCGTTACCGTTTGCCACCGTCGTCGACATTGCGGGATAGCGTAAATATTAAATATTTAAAAATTAAAAAAAAAATAAATAAATAATAGAAACGTATTACGAGTTTTGTGTTAATCGAAAACCGGTACGGAGGACGTGTGACGGCTGTTAGCGCGTGACACCGAATGAACGAACGGCTGAAATCGTCGACTGGTCCGGTCCGTGTACCGTGGAGCGCACGCAGTGTGGGAGACCGAGCGCTCGCCGATTCGATTTATAGGGTAGAAACCACCGCTGGCCGATAGGAGGAGTTGAAAGGTAAATAGATACACCGTTTATTTTACATTTCTTCCGACATACGCGCACATACTCTAGGTTCGGTAATACTCAAGTGACCCTATAAAGGCCGGCGCAGTGATTATGTAATTTTGCAGTAAATCTGCCGACCGGATAATGGACGAAAAAATGAAATAATAGTCGAAAATAAAATATATTAATAATTTCGGTCATACGGTTATAAATTATAATGTACCTACGCTCATTGTTGGCATTTGTATTTGTTGTAATAATATAAATAGAAGATTTCCAACCTGTGCGTAAAAATAGTTTTCATAGGAGACTACTAGTTTTTTTTTTGTTGAACATTTTTGGAAAAGTATTTGTAATAAAAAAAAAAAGTCTTCAATATATTACATATTTAAAACTATAATCGGATTTTTTTTTTTTTTAATAGAATGTTTGACGTATAGTCTATAGTGCAAGACATTTGTTCCATTCTACCTAGGTAAACTAGAAAACTATCATAAAAAATGTTGAGCTGTTAAAATATATGTTACGCTTTTTTGTTTAACATAATGTATTAAATGTTTAGAAAAAATGGTGTTCTATAATTTTTCCTTTTTTCAGAGAGACTTGGAACTAGTTTTATCCCTAAAATTCCTCAATTTTATCAAACAATCTTCCGGTATTTTGATCTCTACCAAAAACATTGGAAATATTAGTTACCTAAGTTATTATATTTAACTGGACATAATGATCAATGACTCTTACAATTATTAGCATACAGCCTACAGGTATCAGAAGTACCTACAGTTATTTTACAATGTTCAAAAATATATAATTTTTTATCTTAATAATCTTAAGATTGATAATTATAATTTGACATGGTCTTAGCAGCAATATTTTTTAATATTAACTATTAGGAGCCAAATTACAAAATAAATCACAAAATATTTCACAATGTGCAGTAGCCCAGCTATTGGTGCAGAACATAATTCAATTTTTTCAAAAAATGCACTCATCACACCCGTTCACTATGATTTTGGTTACATAGTTTTATACAACAGTATGAATTTATGTATGACTGTTTCTCACGCTAATAGGCCCAAGCACGAAGTGACATGTAGACTGTTTGTATAAAACACGTCTGAAATAATAAATACGAAATGGAAAAACGGCTAGACGCTGTTCTAAGTCGCTTATCTGGTGGCTGCGAAAAACAAATAATTAATTGGTACCGCCTACTCATAAGCAATCAATTGTCAAGGACCAAAACATTTGCTGAACAGTAACATGGTATTATTTTATAACATAAAATATTTATAATAATAATTAATATAAAATAATATCATTATGGTTATTTTTCACAGGTAGTATATGGGATCGGTTGTAGACGTGGAATAGATATTGTGTTACCATAGTAAAGGTGAACATCAGAGCGCGGTGGAGTTATGGAGAAAAATAAAGGGCTAACTAAATGGTCCCGGAAAAAATAAAAACTGTGCTCTGAATGAGTTAGCTTCCTATAATGTCAAATTGATCACTTGAAGGACGTCGTTTTCAGTCTTATGCTATACTATATTATAATGTATGTCAATATGTAATGTTATTAGTTATTATTTTAAAATAGTGACTGCACTCGTTTTAGTTAGCTTCGGCAGTTTATTCGGTCCGGCTATTAATTATAACTCGAGCCATTTCCGTGTTATTGCTGTATATATAATAATATCGAGAGTGCAAATTTACATATTACTTAAATAATATATTTGAAGTATTTTCCGCCGTCGTTATAATAAGCAAAATTAAACCTGTGGTGATGACCACAATAAGGCATATTATATAGTCTGTTGCGTTTTTCATATATTAGAGAATCACAACAATCTTACTATTTCGGATTTCATTGGCTAACAATTTCCGAGTTTTCATTAAACATGTACGATATTTGTATGTACTATTACGCCGATGTTTCATTTCAATTCCAATGATTGTTAATGAGTATAGATATGATGTGTGGACAATATATTTATAGTGCATTAAAATTTTAATAAATTATTGTGTAAACATTTTTTTTTTCCTTTATTAATAATTACACAATCTGTTTCAAATAGGTACAATAAGAGTATTGGCTAAAATAATAATATGACATGAAAAGAACATGATAAAAGAAGCCACCCATTGATGACACTTTTAAGTGATTATGTAAAAATATACATAATAAAACTGCTTAATCGAAATCATTTTAAAATTTTAATTCGGGGTGAATAGAATAATCATTCGAAATAAATTATTAAACTATACCTGACCGATAACCTCGTTGAAATTAAAACTGGTTTGTTCGTAATTCCTACTATCTTCGTCGTGTAATATAGAATAGGTAGTATACAATTTATGCTTGGTTGGATGATTCAACAATATTATAAGACACATCACACTTGTTTTCATAAGAATAGACACATATTATGAAAATACGTATCAAGAATATAAAGTATCTTTTTAATATTGACTATTTAAGTTCAAAAAAACCTTGTACCAATCAAATTGTTACACGTGTGTTTGAAAATTAATTGCCGTCGGAAATATTCGACGAGAGCAAGTTAACATATATAAATATGTTTATTAAGTGGAAAAAAAACGTGTATTTAATTTTAGTAAAATGCAATAAAATCGACAGTTACATCATGATATTGTTATTGTTTAATGTTTAAATTATTGGGTTGAATGTTAATGTTGGGCTGACTCAATAAGTGACTTTCAAAAATCATTATTATATGTTATATAACATTTTATTTCAGCGGTCTTCCTTGACGGTATGTTATAAAAAAATCTCAATTTTTCAATAATTATTCCAGTGTTCTTATCTATTTAGTTTTCGTCTTTGTAATAATATGTTAGGTGTTGTGCGTTTACTTAAGCCGATTGGAATTTATAAATATAAGTTGTTTATTTTGTCTTATTTTTGTATATGATTAAAAATAGAGGGCTTGTCAACGATAAATATACATAGTCATCCAAATCGTAATTAATTAAAAAAATATATACAATTGACTTTATATTTTGTCTTCACAACTTTATAAACACAAAATAAGAATAAGTAAGAAATATGAGCTTATGCTCTACTTAAATCCAATTACATAAACGGAAACATTCATGGAGAATTTGGTTTCAACTCCATAAGTTTCACAGTTATATAACTTAAAAATTAACGTTACCATTGCGTAATATCACTGGCTTGTATAAGAATGCGTTGTAGAACAGTATCAGATGTCCTGGAGAACTTTTGAGGATTCTCTACAGAACCATACAACGTTTGTTTGTGCTGTTTCCTTATGAGACACGTGTCTACAAAGTAATGATTAATTCATATTCCATAGAGAATTTTTGCATTTTAAATTATTTTATATTATTAAAAATATCGTAAAATGTCCTTAATAAATAGAGAGAAATACAACTATATGCAAGCTGTCCACCATGCGGGATGCCACAAAACACAGCATAATAATCAATATTTTATGTACGTAGTTTAAATTAGAAGTTGTTGTAAATAAAATTAAGCAATAATTAATTAAACTAAAATTATTAAACTGACATAAATATTTCAAATATTAATAAACATAACATAAAATAATTGGCAATCAAATCCATAAAAAAAAGTATAAAATATAAAAGTCCTAAGAATAAAAAATAAAATTTTTATTAAAATATTCATCTCGTGACACGATCTCATATAGAAGCGTTGGACCTTTAAGAATTGTTGTAAAAATCACCGAAATGTTCACTGTAAATAGAGCAGAAATTTATCTGCGCTTAAGTGTTTTTAAATTTTCGATAACTCAATTTCCTGGTTTTTAACATTTTTGAAAACCTAAAATTAAAAAATTCATAAAAATAAAAACAAAGAGATATTCTCTTTTATTTGTCTATAATTATCTGGTGAATTTAGTACTATCACAGCCTCTATACTTAGCCTTCATTCGCGCAAAACTCAGTTTCCATTCTACAAATTACGGTTGGGTAGTCCTCTTAAGTAAACATTTAAACTACTTACAATGCCATAGTGCGCCTGGCAAATAATTTTAGGTTTTTGGATATCATGAAAATACATTTAGACCATAGATTTGGTAATGTAATCGTGGATGTAGGCGACAGATAATATAATGTAACGATAAATAAAAAATTACCTATAATATAGCAGAGAGACAGAACTAGTTTGGACAAACTAATAAGATTAAAACACATAATATGTGTTTTCCATCTAGCTGTCTGAACAGTATTGTCTGTCTCGCACATATCTTACTAAAATAATCTGGTTTCTATGCGCGGTCCATTTAATAAAATGTCTATGATTAGAGCTAGCCTAGTAGTAACAGACAACGGTAACAACCAAATCGGTCTTGTATAAAATGATTACAAAGATAAATGATAATACAGAATAATTTACTTATCTAAATAATTTGCCTTTTGTTGCAGTTTTCACTATTTTATCGTCAATAATAATATTTACCCTGTGTATGAATTTCAAAGATTTTCTAAATTAGAAAAATTAAAATCGTGCAACATTCTTGTATAGGTATTTATTAATTTGTATGTAGTTAAGCTTTTATCATAATTCATTATAAATAGATCTTCTATACTTAGTTTTATCAAGCATTTATAATCACACGATTACTTTTGAATAACTCACGTGCCATGGCTTAATTTAATTTTTAGTTTTGACAATAGGGTTAATTCCTTACCAAAATTATCTGTATTATATAGGTCGTTCTTGGTTTTAATGTTATTGCAGAATAATGCTATAAGACTTATAGTATGAGTAATAAATGTAATCCGTTGAAGATCTATGGTAATATAACAGCACAGACTTTCGATATTACTTTACACGCATTTAATCTTGTCAGTATAATCTCCAATAGAATGTAAAATGAGATTTTTTTGAATGGCACAAATCTTCTG